GAGAGAGAGAGAGAGAGAGAGAGAGAGAGAGAGAGAGAGAGAGACAGCGCGCGCTCAAGCATGCTCTCGAACTTGAGTGTGTGGTGGTATCTATTATAAGTGTTAAACAAGGGTGGGCTGAGACTCAACTCCTAGGTTTACCAAGCATAAAGTTCAAAACCAATGAATGTGATTTTAAAAACCACTTCAAGTTCAAAATGATGTTACTCAAAAAAATTTAACTGAGTCAAATATCTTATTCACTTGTTATTAAACTCACTGTTTTCCAAATCAGTTAAAGTGGTTTTTATCATCATCATATAAGCCTCAAGTCAAAGTGTTCTTTGCACTTGGTGAAGTCTAGGTTTCGAGGTGAAAATGTGCTCTTGGTTTTTCATGCTGGCTCTAACATATATTTACTAAATCAAAATTACTCTGGTCCAAAATAATAAGGGAAGGCTTTATAGAGCAGAAAGCTGCTCTACAAAGCTCAGCCTAGCTGTAGGTACACAGAAGTTTGCACCTCCTCTTCTGGCATCATCTTTCTCCGACCATCCTTTACAGGAAACCCACTTCCAAAATCCTTTGAAGAGATATCAGCTCCATACTCCACAATGACATCTTCTTCAATGGTGCTCACCAGTCTCCAGAATTCCTTCTCTACCAGTTCTGTGGGCACCATCTAGGGAAAAACAAAACGGCTAATGAGTAAAAATGACCATGACATGACACGCAGGGCAACTGTTATAAGATGACAAACCTCTAAAGCTCCCAGGTCCAGGCAGACTAGATCCCAGATTTTTTCACTAGGTAACAGGGATTTAAAATAGACAAGCTGGGTTCCTCAGAAAACCATCTGTAACTGTAATTAACCTTTTTCTACAGAAAGCTGTTTCAAAACTGAAAAGGAAGAAGATGAAACAGAACATCAAAAGGAAAGGGGAAGAGGTAAAAATCAGAGTAGAATTTCAGCAGAATTAGCAAATGTCCTGATAGAGTACCATGAAAGCCAATGAAAATACTCTTTGGAAAAAAGCAAGCAAACCCTATAATACAAACAGGTAAACAAAAGAAGCAACTGTTATGTACTTCATGCTTCTCTGTTGTCAATTACTCCCAAGGAGCTATGAGGAAATTAGGTCATCAACACTTACTTCTTAACAGGGAAATAACTCACATTTAAATAGACATAATTTTGTTTACAAAGTACTTTCCTCACAACAACTCTGTGCTACAGACAATACATGTATTATTAATCCCATTTTACAGATGAGGAAGTTAAAAGGTTCAAAGGATAAATTACTTACCCACAATCACACAGCAGATTAAGTGTTAGAACTAGGCCTTAAACTTGGTCTCTCAACTCCAAATTTAGTGCTTTCTTTCCAATTCACCATACTAGAAACTCTCAAATCAGAGAGTCAGTGAAAGAATTAGAATCCAGGCTGATTTCAAGTTCCATATTCTATTATATCTTTCACATTGTGTGTCCTGCCTCCCTTTATTTTTTAAAGAAAAAAAAAAAGGAGGAGCAAGAAGGAAGGCAGAGGCAAAAAATAAAGAAAAAGAAACCAAAAGGTTTGAAACTTGTAAATCCTTCCACCTCCCCTAAACTAGTCCTTAGACACAGACTCACATGGACTGGCATGTTGAAGTAATCTGATTTAAAGTTATCTGCCATCTCTCCAAAGCTCTGGAGGGTATACTCTCGGACTGCTTGCTCAAACCCAAAGGCCTCTCGAGGTTTGTTACATTCCTGAGGTAAGAAAGAAAAATTACAAAACTTAGTGTCACATTCCTTGGAGGTATACTTGACACAACTGTGACAGATACTGCCAATTTCTGAAAGTGAAACAGTTTTAATCATTTGCTTATTTGAGAAATATATACACTATCTAATTTGGCATTAGGGAAAATAATCTAAGAACCTCACCTGCAATGTTATAAGCTTACACAGTCTACCTGGTATAGAAGTAAAGAGGTAATAAAACAGTTGTTAAGTCTGCAATACGCTCTGGCACCAGGACAAATGATGCAGTACTAATGGACTGGAACCAAGCCCACAGCAGCCTCTCAAGTCTTAACATATCACTGGACTTCACCATGGAAAAGACAGATGTACATAAAAAGAGGATAAAAGGGATTAAGTTATCTGGCTAGGAATAATAATTTCTTCATATTAATTTATCCATCATTGAAGCACAAACATAGATTTCGAACAGAATACATTTTCTCTTTTTTTTTCTTTTTTTTTTTTGGTGGGGGGGAGGAAGGAGCAAGGCAATCGGGGTTAAGTGATTTGCCCAGGGTCGTACAACTAGTACATGTCAAATGGGAAGCCAAATTTGAACTCAGGTCTTTCTGACTCTGGGGCAGGTGCTCTATCCACTGCACCACCTAGCTGTCCCAGAACAGAATACATTTTCAATTATCTAATCCAGGAAATATAAACTATAGTAGCTGGACATGCACCTCTAAATACTTCTAAGCACACTGTATCCAGTTATTGAAAGGTTTATCAGTCCCTTTTCTGCAAAAGAACATCCCAAAATTCACACTTACCAAGAAATCCACAGTTAATTACTTCTTCCTAATCACTCCAATTAAAATAGCTCATCAAATTCAAAGTAAGATATAGTCACAACAATATTTCTTGCCCACTGAGGCTCTGGGTAGAAGTATGTGTGATGATTGCCCAGATCCTGTGCTCTGCATGCCCGTCCCACTCTATTTATTTTATTTAATTACTATAATTTCTAATTTAAAAAGCAAAAGAAAGCCTTTAAGTGTTCAATAATTCTTATGTTCTGCACAAAAATACTCAGTCATCTATAGTAGTCTGTGGGTTTATCTATCCAGCACTCAAAGTCACAGAAAGAACTTTTGCAAAGCAAATATAATCTACCAAAATATGAATTCTAATTCTCTCTAATATAGTCTTAAAAGTCAAGAGGATTTCATGAGCTGACAGAAGAGTTTTGTGCAATTTTCTGGTTGATTTGCGTTTTTTAAAGTGCTCAAAACTAGGCTTGTACCTCAGCAACACATTTAGGACACCTCCAGTCTCCTTTGGGCACATCAGGTAGAGGGGGAATCAAGCAAAATGTATGGTAGCTGTCATCACATCCATCACACAAAAGCAACTTGTCTTCGTTGTTTCCTCGACCACAAAACATACAAACATAAAGATCCACCTATTGGGGGGGCAAGGGGAGAGGGGGGGAGGGGGAAATCATCCATCAGTCATTGTAAAAAAGTAACAAATGATACCCAATCCCAAACTAGGACTCCACTAGTTAGAACATATATACATATATATAAACACATGTGAGTAAGTTATTTCTCCAACATTGTTAACACTGATCTGTATCCACCTTTGAACCTAGAACCCAATAGTTTAGCAGCCCATTGACAAAAAACAAAGCAAACTAATTGGCTCATTCTAGGATCAAACATAAGGCTCAGACTCATTCACAAGAATATCCACCGACCTCACAGGCTTCCAAAGCCCCTGACAATCCAATCTATACCTGAAAAAAAGAATCCCAACTAAAATACACCCAACAAATAGTCATCCAGCATGTACTCAAAGACCTCTAGTGAGGGTGAATCTATTGCATCTTTTGGCAACCCATTCCACTTTTGGACAGCTCAGAATGTTAGGACATTTTTTCCTGACAAGCTAAATTTGTCCCTTTGCAACTTCAACTCATGACTCCTGGTTCTGCCTTCCTAAAGTCAAACAGAACAAGATTAATCCTGCTTTAAAATGATAGCCCTTCAAAATGATAGCCTTTCAAAATAATTGAAGATAAATATCATGTCCTTATCAGTAATCTCTTCTCCAGGCTAAACATCCCTAATTTCTTCAACTAACCCACATATGACATGGATTAGAGCAGTCCTTCTTAAACTGCGGATCATGAAAAATTTGGCAACAGTAAAAGGCTTCTGAATCACAATGACCAAAAATTAATTCAAAATCAAACACATAATGAATCTGAGGTGTTGCTGGCAGCGCTTGCCCACGCATCACACAACTTTACGCTAGCCTTGGTCCTGAACACACAGCATGCACACTTTGCACTGCAAATACAGTCATGCCACGCAACGTCAACGAATGCTGCCACAACGTGAAAAGGGGTCACGAGTGGAAAAAATTTAGGAGGCCCTAGACTACTGGCCCTTCACTATTCTGGCTACCCTCCTCTGGATACATTCTAGCTTATCAATAGACTTACTAAAGTATGGTGCACAAAACCGAATTCAATACTCCAGATGTGATTTGACCAGGACAGAGCAGGGAGGGACTGTGTCTCTCCTAATGCAGTCCAAGATCACATCAGTTTTTCTGGTTGCCAGGCCAAATGTTCACTAATACTGAATTCAAAGTCAATTAAAATCCTGAGATCTTTTTCAGATATACTGGTATCTAACCATGATTCCACCATCTCATAACTTTTCACATTAATTTCCTGAAACCAAGTCTAATACCTTATGTTTATTCTCACTAAATTTCACCTTATTAAATTGAACTCAATGCTCTAGCCTGCCAAGATCTTTTTGGATCCTGACTCTCATTCAATGTGTTAGAAATCTTTAGTTACCATTACTGGAGTCACTTAAAAAATGTTAAAGTGGACAGGGTCAAGTACATAACCTTGGGGCATGCCACTACAAACATCTTCCAATATGACACAAAGCCATTAATGACCTGAGTCCAGTTATTCAACTAGTTTTAGATTGATTCATTTGTACTATTGTTTAGCCTACATCTCTCCATCCTTTCCAAAACACTAGAATTAGTTATTTTATCTCTTCCTCCATTTGAAAATTTGAACATTTACCCTTTTGCATTTTAAGATACTTTTATTATTCTCTGAGTTTTCGAAAATCACTGACAGTGCTACTCAGCAACTGTACCTTCTTTTTTTTTTTTCTATACCCTAGGATTGAATTCACTTGGGCCAAGTCACTTCTGTTCATCAACAGTACCTAGGTGTTTTTTTTTTTTATTATTATTAATCTCCTTATTTGAGTTCCAATTCTATATTAGCCTTTTTCTTTTCAGTGCAAAGGTCACTTTCCTTGGCAAGGAAAACAGAAGCAAAAAAAAAAAAAGAACTGAGCATCTTTGCGTCTTCTCTGCTGTCAGTCATCACGGTCCCACCTAACTTGAATAGCTACTCTATCCCTTCTTTGAAGCTCCTCTTCCCTGACACAGCTGTTTTAAAGGCTCTTTTTTGGTGTTAAGCTTCCCCTCCTTTACATCTATCTTCTATATAGATCTTTTTAAAATCTAAGTTAGTTCATCCGGTCATTTTTCTTGCTCATCAGAACTGTTTCCTTTTGTGACATTACAATCTTATTCTTGAATTTCCAATCTACCTGAACTACATCTTATCTATACCAAATCACAAACAAGATAAACCAACTCTTTTTTTCAACACACTGTTGACAGAGATGATAATTTTGCTGTACTCTGACCTGGTTAGAGCCAAGCTGGAATACTGTGTTCAATTCTGGTTAGCACATCATAGGGGACACTGAGGAGCAAAAGAGTGCTCAGAGGAAGACAACAGAATAACCATGCCATACAAAAACTGATGACAAGGAATAAGCTTGTTTAATCTAGGAAAGTCTTAGGATGGGGACATGACTGTCTTAAATAACGAAAGGGTTATCCTGTGTATATTAGACTTGCTTTTGCGTAGGTCCAGAAAGTAAACTTTAGACCAATGGGTAGAAGTTAGAGGGAAGCAGACTTTAGCTCAATGTAATAAAAAATGTCCTAACAATAAGAACTATCTCATAATGGAATGAATGGGCTGCTTAATAGGTAATGAGTTCCCAGTCACTGGAGGGTTTCAAGAAGAGACCAGATGACTAGATTTATAGGATAACATAGATGCATGATATGGTTCAAGGCTGGTCCAGAAGAACCCTGAGTACCCTTTCCAACTCTCAAAGTCTACGATTCCAAATTCAGTTTTAACATATCTTTTACTTATGAGACATACACATAAATAACAAATACTTTCCATCCTGGAATGTCCCATAACACTTACAAAGTTAACAGAAAGAGTCCCTTTTCGTTGTCTCATTTGCATACTAAATGCTTCTGACCTCGTACCTTTGCGTCTTCGAGAAACCTCATCTTGAAAGTAAAAATACAAATAAGCTGTTATGTGGTACTTGCACAAAAAGTAATATAAGATTAACATTTCAAGACCATTGGACTTAAGTGTAAGAGAACACTAGAAACACAAACAAGCCTGTGGGGAAAAGAACAGAATTTCTAACCAAAAGTATTTCATTCAGTCAATGAAAATAAACAACATAAGTCAACCAAATCATGTTAAGTATTTAGGAGATCAACTGCCATTCTTATTTGATCCACTACAGTTCATATATACACATCCTGAATTATGAAACTGTACTGCCTATCTTTTAATTCACAAAGAAGCAATTATGACATTTTCTTAATATCATCTTAGGTTAGGGGCAGCTAGGTGGAGCACCAGCCCTGAAGTCAGGAGGACCTAAGTTCAAATCCGACCTCAGACCAAACACTTGCCACATACTAGCTGTGTGACCTTGGGCAAGTCACTTAACCCCGACTGCCTCACCCAAAAAAAAAAATTGTCTTAGGTTTCTGTAAATGCAGTCACAACACATTTCATCCACCCTTTGGTAAAACTGAATTCAAGACTGTCCAAATTGCTACACAGATAAAATAAAAACCTATGTAAATTTATATAAAAGTCTCACAAATCTTTTTTTTGCCACTATTTTTAAATATAAAGCAAGTCTGAAAGGTACTAAGTATCTGGTGATAAATACTGCTCTTTCCAAAGAAAGTGAGGACTGCAGCACATCAGCATTAACTCTTAAAATTACGACTTTCCCACCATGGAGCTCCTACTTTAAAACCCCAACTGCGCATGAAGGTGACTGACCCTGGGCTCCTGCAGGCTATCCTAATGGAGTACTAGTTCTCTCAACTCATAGTAAGCTGCAAATATAGACCTAATGATAAAGCAGCCTAAATGTGGAAAGGCTCACCATTAGATGGCTTTCCATAATAATTCATGGTATTGTTTATTTATGACACTGTTAAGGAGGGTTTGTTATCTATTCTACCCAGATCAATAAAGCCAGTTCTTTTGGGTTTTTTTTGCTTTTTGGTGAGGTAATCAGGGTTAAATGACTTACCCAGGGTCACTAAGTGTCAAGTGTCTGAGGCCAAATTTGAACTCAGGTCCTCCTGACTCCAGGGCCTGAGCTCTATCCACTGTGCCACCTAGCTGCCCCAACCACAAATTTTTTTTCACACTTTCTAACCATGAGATCTTTCCACTGATCCTAAAGCAATTTTTAAATTCGGTAAGTTAGAATACTTCGAATCAATCTTCGTTTAAAATCAGAGTTAAAAGCTTTGGCAACCTTTATGACAAAAAACTAATTTTTACCTTTTCTTACAAACATAACTTTGAAAACAGTACTAGGTTTGTATGCCACAGATCACAGGCAAATCCTTTCTAACCATCATAAAAGCCCAATAAATATCATGTGACTTCTCACAATATGAAGACTATAATAGTGACTTAGCTAGAAGTCATACTTGAAGTCTAGAACTCAAGAGAAATTCTAAGTAAATTACAAATACATTTGTATGGTTTCTCAAAGCAAACAAATCCTGACTATAACAATGACACCCATGTTATTTTTCCTTATTATTGATACTTCTTACTGTACTTTATTTCATTTCCCTGTTCAGAAAACAAAATTTTACCTTCTTTATCCTTTGCTCCTATTGCCAGGCCCATCATCTTAGGCCCAGCTCCAAAGATCTGAAGTTTCTTCAATTCAGTGTTTCTACTTACTTCTCCGGTCTCTGCCTAAAAGCAAACCAAAAACATATGAACACTGGGAAACCCCAGCCTTCCATATTCAAGCTCTTCTTTTCTTATCCCATAAAAAAAGTTGTGAAACTAGCTTTAGTCTCAAAAGTTTGATCTCCTCTTCCCAAACCCACTCTCACTAAAGCAGGAAGGACTACCCATTTCCTCTATGAAAAATTTTTTCTATCTTTCATAAAGGGTTAATTATCCATTCACAGAAGCTTGCATGTTTTATATCCTGAATACCTCATACATACATGTGAATATATGTATCAAATAATTTTTCTAAGAGCACCTAAGCAAAAGATGCTAACCAATGTAAGAGTGAATCAGAATTATGGACCTTTTAAATCTATTATCCAAATAGATTAGTCTGCCACACTCAGTGAAGACATCAGGACAAGGTCAATGGAAACAGAAAAATAATCTGGGGCAGAACAGTAACAGCAACAACAACTAGCATTTTATATAGTGTTTACCATGTGCTAAGCACTTTACAAATATTCCATTTGATCCTCACAACAACCCTGGGAGGTAGATGCTATTATTATCCTAATTTTAAAGTTGAGGAAACTGAGGCAAGTTAAGTAACTTGCCCAAGGTCACACAGCTAAAAAGTGTCTGAGGCTGAATCTGAACTCAGGTCTTCCTAACTCCAGGCCTAGTGCTCTATCCATTTAACCATCTATTTGCATAGAATAGAACAGAATGAATGCCAAAACTTTAATTTTGTAATCCTAGATTTCAAACAAATCTAATTCTGCCAAAAACACAAGTTTTCTGTTTTAAGGTATAGAGAATATGATCACTAATGTGGTGTTGGCACTATAATGAAACAATTTTCTTCCACTTAGAATTTAATCTTCAATTTTTACAACCAGTGTCTCTGATAAGGGCCTCATTTCTAAAATATATAGAGAACTAAGTCAAATTTATAAGAACACAAGTCATTTCCCAATTGATAAATGGTCAAAAGATATGAACAGGCAGTTCTCAGAGAAACAAATTAAAGTCATCTATAATCATATGAAAAAACGCTCTAAATCACTACTGATTAGAGAAATGCAAATCAAAACAACTCTGAGGTACCAACATGATAAAACAGGAAAATGACATGTTGGAGAAGATGTGGGAAAAATGGAACACTAATATATTGTTGCTGGAGTTGTGAAATGATCCAGCCACTTTGGAGAGCAATTTGGAACTATGCCCAAAGGGCTATAAAAATGTGCATACCCTTTGACCCAGCAATAGCACTTCTAGGGCTGTATCCCAAAGAGATCATAAAAATGGGAAAAGGACCCACATGTACAAAAAATATTTATAGCAGCTCTTTCTGTGGTGGCAAAGAATTGGAAATTGAGGGCATGCCCATCAATTGGGGAATGGCTAAACAAGTTGTGGTACATGAATGTAATGGAATACTATTGTGCTATAAGAAAAGATGAGCAGGCAGACTTTAGAAAAGCCTGGAAGTATGGACTGATGCCAAGTGAAGTGAGCAGAAGCAGGAGAACGTTACACACAGTAACAGCCACGTTGTACGTTGACTAATGTTGACAGACTTAGCCCTTCTCAGCAATGCAAGGATCTAAGACATCTCCAAAAGTCTCATGATGGAAAATGCTATCCACATCCAAAGAAAGAACTATGGAGTTTGAATGGAAATCGAAGCATACTATCTGCTATTTTTTTCCTTCTATTTTGTTTTCTCTTTCTTGTGGTTCCTCCTATTGGTTCTAATTCTTCCTTACAACATCACTAATGTGAAAATGTTTAATAGGAATGTATATGTATAGCTTATATCAGATTGTGCATCATCTTGGGGAAGGAGGCGGAAAGGGAAGGGGAGAAAAATTTAAAACTCAAAAGCTTATGGAAGTGATTGTTGATAAATCAAAATAAATTAATTTAAAAAAAAGCCTTTCCCAGTCCTCCTTAATCTTAGTGTTTTTCCTTTGTGATTATCTAAAATTTATCTGTCTGTATCTTGTTTGTACATAGTTGTTTGTACATAGTTGTACATTATCTCCCCCCCAACTAAATTCCTTGAGAGCAAGGCTATTTTGCCTTTCTTTATATGCCCAGCACTTAGCACAGCATCTGGCACGTAGTAGGTGCTTAATAAATGCTTACTGACTTGTTGACACTGGTCCTTGAAATGATACTATTTTAAGATTCATGAACAATACAGCAACTACATGAGGACAGTCCAGGCTCATATAAATTTACATTATTATGGCTTACAGAAATAACAAATGAAAAACAAAGCCACCCTCTCCAAATCCAAATCCCCTAAAAGATGTTTTAAAAGCCATTTTTAACTGAACAAAATGAGACTAGAAACCGGTCAAAGTTTCCCAGTCATCTACTGGATGGTTTCCTTTCTCTGTTGAGAAATATTCACAATAAACAGATTCCTGGTCAATCTGAAAACACTTCATTAGAGTTCATAATTTCTTCAACCTATCTCCCAAAGAGAGGGAGAAGGTTCTCTGAGGTATAAAAACTGGTATATATAAATGAGATCCAATGACCAGAAATATTTTGTAGCCAATTCTATTGCACTGATGATTAACTGTACTTCTCTCTCAAGCAGTCAATGGATCCTGGATACCTGAGATTTTATACGTCTGGTTCTCTTTGGTAAAATATTCATTCTTGTGCCTTGTTCCGGGGAAGCCTGGGCATCAGTGCTGAGGACCTCAACCTCCACTTTTTCCTTAATATCCAAGTTTGGCATTTGGACACCCTAAAGGATCAGAGCACAGCAGGACAACAGAGTCATTGATCAGACACCAAGCATGAAAATCAGTGAGAAAAAGATAAAAGCAACCAATAAATTGATTACAAGTCCAATGAAGCAGGGAGAATGATATTCTAGGAAGTTTAAAACATGAATCAGGTGTCGGACTGTATGTGATATCTAAATACCAGCCTAGCTAAGTTCAGAGAGGTAAACACAAGGCCCGGCTGCTAGGTGATATCACACATAAGTCATACAGAGTTCGTAATCTGCATCAGGTGTACCCATGTTGACAAAATCACAAAACCTTTAAATTACTGAAGTACTAAAATGTAAAGAGTCATAGTAAGTCGCTAGGAAAAAAAGAAGCATGTTTCCAATAATGTAGATGAAGTCTTCAAACCCTGCTTATCAATGCAATAAATTTGACTTTAAATTTTCAAATACATTTGTTTTAGTGTTGGCCATGAGGCAATCTAATACCATGTGTATAACTGCTAGCTTATTCTAAACCACTTCTGTTTCACAGAACAGAAATTTATTCGTGATACCTAAATATCAAAGTGCATCTAAAGTTGATACTGCAGACAAGCTGTATTGGGCCAATTTCTGAAAAGAATAATGACTCACCATAAGGCTGACTCCAGACTGGAAAAGCTCGTAAGGGTAAAGGATTCTTTCATAATGAGACTTCAACAGAGACCCAGTTCCTTTCCCTGGCAGATAGCCTAATCGACTACCCACTTTAGACCACTTCTTCTCTTTCGTGACCATTTCAAAGCCTCCTTTGCTGGCAACAATCTGAAAGAAAAGTAAAGAAGCAGAATTTTAGAAAAAGAAATTATATTCAACAATATGGTTCTATATCTAGCATATAAAAAAAAATTCTGGACTCAAATCTCTGGAATTCCTTTCCTATAATGACCCAGAAAAGACCAAAATTATTAAAACTTGCAGCAAGACTTCTTTTAATGATTTTTTTTAAAGGTTTTAAACTGTGTGAAATAGTGTTTGGGTACCAACAAACTAGTTGGTAAGTCAGACCATTTACTGAACTCATTTTATGTAAAGCTCCATATTATAATTAGATATCAATGGAATATTAAAACACAAAAATATGAAACCCATGCCTTTATGGATATTACCATCTGAGATAGGATGAAAACACATGAAAAAAGGTCTGTGATGCTTTCACAGATCCATGAAAAAATACATACAAACAGGCATGCTCACATAGTACAAAATGTGTTAGGTGCTGAGATAATACAAGAGTGAATAGAGTTATACAAAGTTACAACAATTCACAGAGGTTATAAATTTGGAAGGGAAGAATTTAAAAAGAGGAGGGAACCAAAATTTCTGGAGGTTAGGGGCAAACTATTTAACACAGAATCACTAACCATAGATATAGAACTAAAAGGGATCATAAAGTTGAACTCCCTTATTTTACAGAGGAGGAAATAGAAGCACAAAAAGAGAAAGTGACTTGCCCAGGATTACACAGCTAGTATATCACTAGGATTTAAACTCAAGTTTTCCTAACTTAAGCACTACTATGCCACCTCGCTACTTCAGGAGGTTGACATGTGAGAAAGATCAAGCCAAGAGATACGCTTGGTTGCAGAACATTATATTGCTGGAATGATATGATGACTAGCCAACTGAGTAAAATCACTTTAAATCTAATAGTTTCCTACACGCCTATATTATGTTCTATGTACAGTGTAAGTAAATACACAGGTCTCATTTCATAGGAGCTGATATTCTTGCACTGTATGATGTGAATATCTCAAACTGTTAGAAACTGAAAACAGCTTAAGAGATCATTTAGTCCAGGGATTCTTAACCTTTTTTGTCATGAACTCTTTTGGCAATCTGGTAAAGCCTATGGATCCTTCTACAATAATGTTTCAAAAAACATAAAATAAAATACATAGCATCAAATATAAAATCCTCTGGCATTTAAAGCCTTCCATGACCTGGCCCTCTCCTGCCTTTCTAATCTTCTTATACCCTACACCCTCCCACACACTCTGTGATCCAGTGACACTAGTCTCCTTCATGTTTCTCGCACCAGACACTCCATTTCCTGACCCCAGGCTTTTTCACTGGCTGTCCTTCATACCTGGAATGTGTTCTCCCTCCTCATCTCTGTCTCCCAGCTTTCTTCAAGTTTAGCTAAAATCTCACTCTCCGCAAGAAGCCTTTCACAACCTCCTTAATTATTTCTAGTGTCTGCCCTCTGTTGATTATTCCCAATTTAACTTGTATTTAGTTAGCACAGTGCCTAGCACATGGCAGACACCTAATAAATGTTTATTGACTGACCAACAGATTAAAAATTAAGCCAATTACACTGAAATACAATTATAAAAAAAATTTTTTTAAACTCATAGACCACAGGTTAAGAACCTCTGATTCAGTCCAATTCATTCATTTTTCAGGTGATCCCTCATCTGAAACTGAGATCCAGAAACTTGCCTAAAATCACACAGCAGAGCTGGGTATGAAGGCTAGAACCCAGGTTTTCTGAGTCCCAGGGACTCAGTGGTGTTAGCACTAATTAGTAGCAAGACCAGAATGATCAAGAATAGGGCTATTATTTAGCATGTGTTATTGTTCAAACAAGGGGAAAGATCAGGGCAAAGTATGCTAAACTGCTACAGGTTGAAGCTACAAACAGTTACAAACCTGCAGCCAAAAGCATAGAATCATGGAATATTAGAACTAGAAAGATCTTAAAGGCTAAACCAACTGCCCCCCACCTACCCCCCCTCAACCTTACTTTACAGATGAGGAACTTAATATCCAAAGAGATGAAGTAAATTACCCAACCTCACTCAAGTTGCTTTACCTGTGTCTCAATTTCCTCATCTTAATTTACACATGGGAAAAGTTACGTTCTTCAGCAGGGCAAAATAGACAAGGAAAATATGCAAAATAAATCAATTATTTTCAGGAAATGAACACCATAAAATAATGTTGCAAAATAACTATTTATGTATCATAGCAATAGGCAGTTTAGCTTTACTGGGGGAATGTACTTTGTAAAAGTGTTTGGCTATTTACTGGGAAGTGCTGTGTCAAAACAACCACAAACAAAGCATAACATTTGTCCAAAGAAACTGGTGGACCTTTTCTGAGTTTGTGTGCATTTTGGTTTTCTAATTGGGTTTAATATTTTTTTTTATGGGGAAAAGAAAAAACAATTTATCAGTCTGGAGTGAAATCCTGCCTAAAAACAACTTCACTGTTCCTTGATGAATCCTAACTATAATCACATATAATAAAAAGGAAACATGATCTAGTGTTAAGAGCACTAGATATGGAGTCAGAAGGCCTGATCTCAAGTGCATTACTTTTCTGAACCTCAGTTACCTATTCTGTAAAATGGATATAACAAGACTTACACCATTTGCCTCAATGGGTTGTTGAAAGGACCTTGTAAACTATAAAGCAGTATATAAATATAAGCTATAAAATAATGGACTCTCCATATTCAAAGGAGACACTGCTATCCTACTATCATTAAGGCCTGTATTTGCAGTGGTTTTTCTGGTAATAATTATGGATTTGTACTAATTCATCTATACTTGCCTGCCCACTTCCCTTGTGATCAATGGCATACATTTGAGAGGAGAGCTAGTGTTAGCAGTCTACAGCCACGAAATGAAACAAAGGGACCATAACCATGATCTTGGCTTCATTAGAACAGCCATAATACTCAAATACACAAAAGCTTAAGCTGTGTTAAAATTGGATTTCTCCTCTTGACAGATTCCAGAATTGCAATAGACTAGACATGTCTAGTATCTGAAAATATAAACCTTTTCTCAATCCCTCTGTCAGAATAGACCAAAATTTCAGCCTTCTAAAAACACGAGTCTGGCTGGAATTGGGGCCAATTTTAATGGGCAGAATGGATGGGATTAAAAAAAGAAAGGAGGTGACAATCAAAATTGGAAACCACCATAGTGATAGGGACAGAGACTAGACTATGATTGGATCCATATGGGAAACTCCAAGGTGAGGAAATGCATTCTACCAAGGCCAGTCAAGCAACTTTATAGAGTTACTAGTGTTGAGAAGTTAAGTGACTCGCCCAAGGTCACAGAGCCATTATGAGATGGAATATGATCACAGGTCTTCTTAGCCTAGAGGCATGTTCTCTATCCATTATAACAAGGTTGAAAACTTGCTTTTCCACCTTAAAAAACATTAAAAGGTCAAAGTGTTTCAAGATCCCCAGAGCACATAATCTATACCAAAAAGAAAACTAGCCACATAGAACTTTTTAAAAAGTTTTAAAGATTTACCTAACAATCCCAAACCACTATAATTCTCAACTTAAGCATCTACAATATTCTAAATCAAGATGAACCTCAGACTGAACAATATAATACCATGCTTTGTAAACAGTCACCCCAAAAAACCCAATCAACTTCACTGTCTCCACTCTGGAAGCAAAGCCACTGTAAAATGTAAAGAGAATATAGCCTTTCATTAGTTCTGAATCTCAATCAATCTTACAGTGTTATAAGCAAACATTTTTATAGATTTAGTATGTATTTGTTCATGGTTGCATAATAAATCTGGGATACATAAACACCAAGATGTATACTTAAATTTCAATTACTCAACATAAATTCTCTGACTAGGCTCGATGAAGTATTAATAGAAACATATACTCTTATCATTAACTTTTTCATTTAATAAGGATGAAATCTAGAATGTAATCTCACTTCCTATCATTAGATTACTTGACTTTTACCTTTAACTGTAACACTGCCTCAGAAAAAACACACTAAGAGGCAGCTAGGTGGCCCCATCGATAGAGCACCAGCACCGGACTCAGGAGGACCTGAAGTTAAATCCGATCTCAGACACATAACACTCAATAGCTGTGTGACTCGGGCAAGTCACTTAACCCCAATTGCCCTCACCAAAAAAAAAAAGTAAGAAAAAAACACACAAGATCAGCTTAATCTAGGTTATAAACTTTATGTATAACACTTTCAGTGGAGATTTCTTGAGGGTTTTTTTTTTTAACTGTCCTATGTTAAGTTCAGTTTGAAGGTTAAAAAAGAAATTCTGTGGTAAAAGTACTAGTAAATAAAACTGCTAAAGTAACTTTTAGGAAAAGATTTCTTATTTTTGTTAGACCCTAAAACGTAATCAAAGTTAATACAAAAATTTAAACAAAGTGTCAAGTGCCAAAAAAAATTTTTTTTATATAATTTGATACAAAATATAATATTAAAGAAGAAACTCTTAAGCATATTACTTTCACTCTAACAATGATTTCCTACACAAAAACACATAAGCACCACTGAAAATCTGCCATAATTAGCAATGTTGTTACTATTGATTATTCATATAACCAGAGCAGACAATGAACTTGACACTACCATCTTGTAGGCAACATAGGTCAACAGCTTTTTTTTAAAGCACAGACATATTAGGCTTCTCAGACTTCTGAGCTTAAATGTGCCTGATGAAAAAAAATGCAACTATTAATAACGCTTTTTACTCTAAATGAAAAGTATTACTACAAAATTAACTAACATAAGTGAGAAGCAATTTCTACTTTAAAACAATTAGGTATTTTGAGACAAAAATAAACACAGATAATTTTACAAAATTACTCAGATTATAACTACTATAATCCTACTTACAGTCTTATCCCTCATAAATTATAACCACTACAATTGTCTAGTATTTTTCTAACAGAATGTAAGCCCCTTGAGGGAACTGTTTTACTTTTATCTTTGTATCCAAAATACCTGGCATACTCAAGATGCTTCATACTGGTATGTGATGAAATACGTTGGCAACAAATTTTACAGTACTCTCTACTTTTAAATGTCAGATTAAGTTTATTCTGCTTTTACAGGGTACAGAGAGGTTCAATAACTTGAAAAGAAGACACTGACAAAGAGAAACATTTCCAGGAATTTGCTTAGACTACTAGACGATGTTATCCTCAACTAAACAGAAAATGTGACTTGATGACACAAATAAAACTGATCTACACAATTTTCCAGACTAAGTGAAATGAAAACCTTTACTATACAGTATTGTCTTCAGAAGAGTACTTCTGATTAAGAAGTAGAAAGACAAAAAGTTATACACAAGGATACTGTTCAATTACCTCAAAATGCAAAAACCATTACCAGGAAGGTAATGAATCTTCTGTATATTGTGTATTATCACAGCACTCAGTCTGTTGTGATGTCATTAAATATGTGAGAAAAAATTTAAAGTCATATTTTTAAAAGTTAGCCTATACTCTTATCATTTCATTTAATCATATGCATGAAATCAAAATGATATTTCATTTCTCATCAAATTCTACCCAGGAATCTGTCTTTCTCCCAGGTTTATTTGAAACATAAATTCATTAGCCTCAATCTTAACTTCTAAACTAAGCTTACTCCTTACCTTGCTTAAAGCATACAGATCAAGAATTTTTCTCTCCACCACAGGAATTTTCAGAGTAGATCCCTGAAGTTCCCAGAATTTTGCTAGCTGATCCAAGAAGTCCAGCCTCACTCTGGTCATTGCCTGAGACACAAAACAAAGAAATAAATACATTAGATATCAGAAATACATGAAGTTAAACCACCAATGAAATTTAGTTCAAATGAACTAAGTATAAGGCACTTTGCTACATGGTGAGGACATAAATATAAAAATAAAACCATCTCTACCCTAAAGGAAATAGATTTAAGAATCATTTCAAGGGGGCAGCTAGGTGGCGCAGTGGATACAGCACTGGCCCTGAAGTCAGGAGGACCTGAGTTCAAATGTGACTTCAGACCAAATACATGACACTAGTTGTGTGACCCTGGGCAAGTCACTTAACCCCAATTGCCCAAAAAAAGAATCACCTCAAATGAGATGGTAGTTAAATTTTAAAGTGAAAGTTTGCCAAGGGAAAAAGCATTAGAAAGAGATCAGAAGAGTACCAAGGACAGAACACTAGGGGATATATATCTTAAGGAATTAGATGTAATTAGTGAGTCACAATAATATGGTATCTTTAAAGGATATGAAATAGAGAATCCGAGAAGAAAGGATGGTCAACTGTATCAAATGCTACAAGAAATTAAGGACAGTAAAGAATGAAAAAAAGTCACCACGTCAAGATCACTAGTGGACTTTAGACAGCAGTTTCAGTAAGTCCTAAAGCTGCAAGTGAGATTTCAAGCTGCTAAAAAGAATATGGGTGGTAAAGAAATGGAGATAATAAATAAACCACATTTTCAAGAAATATGGCAGCAAAGGAGAAGGGGGAACTGGAAAGATTGCTAGATGGAGTAGGAAGATTTTTTTAAGAATGAGGGGGAAATAAGCATCTTTAGGCAAAGAACAAGTGGCCAACAGAGATTAAAAGAGAGATTAAAAATTCGTCAAAGAGGGCAGATGATTGTCAGAACAAGGTCATGAAGGCAACAGGAAGGAATAAAATCAAGAGTACAGTTAGAATCCTAGTATGAAATAAGGATAAATTCTTCTGTAGAGAAAAAGAAAAGAAATTAAGGGTTAACACTGAGAAGTTTTGAGGAATGAAGTTAGCTAGGTGAACTCATATTGGATATCTTCCATCTTCTCACTGAAGTAGAAGACTAAATTTTCTATTTAATTGTTAAAAAGTAGTAATACAGCTGATTTTATATAGTGCTTCATATATTTTCTTATACATATATAAATATATATATATAAAATAATATACACAGTGTATGTATGTATATAAAATTATCCTCACAACAACCTTTTAAGATAGGTACTATGAGTAACTATCAATCCCATTTCAAAGATAAGGCAACTGAGGCTCAGAGAGGTTCAGTGACCTGCCTAAAGTCACACAACTAGTGAGAAGCATGCAAATCCAGGGCTGTTCTGTTCCCAAGTCCAGCACTTTCTCCACTATACCATGCAATGTGTAATATAGGCATATATAATTAGACTATGATCAGTTAATAGCATTTATTGTGTCTACTATGTACTAGGTACTGGGGAATCTTAGTACAAAGAATGAAATCACCCTTGCTCCCAAGGAATTTATATTCTGTTGGGATAAACAACCTACACATATTATAAACACATACTACATAAATACACTAGAGTTAAAGAGGAAAACAACTGTTAGGTGGGGACAGAGGGAAGACGGAATCAGGAAAGGCTTCATGTGGTGTCTGAGGTGCATCTTAAAGAGAGTGAGAGGGTCGAGGAGGCAGAGGTGAGCACAGAGTCCATTCCAGGCATGGATGAAAACAGGAGAGCAAAAGGATGAAAACAGCAGAGAGGGTGCCACGGGTAAGGCAGAGAGAAAAAGTCAGAATTTTGCTGGATTGTACAATGCAAAAAGAGGAATGACACATAATGATAAGGAACAACAGGGAGAGGTCAAGTTGTAAAGGGTTTTAAAAGGTAACCAGAGCAGTTTATTTTTGATTCCACAAGCCACAGGGAAACATTTCTGCTTGCTGAATAGAGACACGACATGATCCTATCTGTGCAGAAGGAAAATCCCTCTGGCAGGCATGTGGAGCATGGACTAGAGCAGAAATTTAAGGCAGGAAGCCAAATTAGGAGGCCACTGCAATCGTCCAGGTGAGAAGAGATGAAAGCCTAAACTAAAGTTGTGGCTATATGACAAGGGAAGGAATCAGATGAAAGAAAGTTGAGGCAAGGCCGCAAGAATTGACAACTGACTGGATGTGTGAAATGAGGGGGAGATGATGTCTACAACTTGGAGAACATAAGAAAGAGAGTATGGAATAGTTCAAGGATTATGACATAAAAGATTACAACAAAACTGAGAAACAGAAAAGTTTTCTATAAAATTGTTAAGTTTATTAACGAATCTCCTTATATAGACAAAATCTGTAGATGGAGGACTGTGAAGATCCACTCACAAAATTATTTAGAAAATACTTAAGAAGAAATAATAACCTAGAAGAGGAAAAGTTAGCTTTCAGGAAAGCTAGTTTAGCACTTGCTGCCCTCACTAATGTAAACCGTGATTACGGTTCATCTTCTATAAATTAAGCACAAAAACTGATGGAGCTTTTTCAGGCAATAAATAAAAATCAGACCCAACTCCATGCCTCATATAGTTTATTCTAATTAACAGTAACTATAAGCACTAGCACAGGGTGGAAGCAGAGCATGGAATCTATTATTTCAATATTAGTGAAATTCCTCTTGCAGTCCAGATTATCCCTTGATCTTCAAGAGGTGATTTGCCCAGGATCTTACAGCCAGGAGAAATCAGAGGCAAGGCTCAAATTCAGATCCTCCCGACTCCTAAGCCAGCTATGTACTACTCCATGATGCCTCTCCTGAGCAATGCTTACATAAGCTTTTGAAATTTCCCTCCCTGAAGATAGGCAGAAAAGAAATGGGACAGAAAGAAAAAAATGACTCCTTAAGTATAAAAACTAAATGATATTCCCAGTAAAAACACTCTTACCTCAAGTTCATTTAAACGTTGCACTCGAGGAGTAAAACGAAAGCTTTTTACTTCACATGCAAATGGAGGCTGCCAATCCTGAATAAGAAAGATTAATGTTTAATATACAAAGAATGTATGCCCACAATTTAAGGAATTATTTACCACAAATCATGAAGACATTAAGTCATATGATATTCAGCCATCTATTAACATTAAAAGGTCTCATTTTTAAAAGAATAAAAATTTCAATAATATGAAAAACCATTCTCAGATATCAACAGACCTTTCTGTATTCTTTTTCATAAAGGATCTTTGCCACTAGTTAAATATAATAAAGGCTTTTTTAAATCCACAAAACCTTTTCCCTTCAGGTCTAACAAATTATGAAGAAAAATGGAATGCAGAAGAAATCAAATAGGTCAAGCAATAAAATTAAAGTTTGTGAAATATTTTAATTTGATGTACTTGCATTGTGTCACAGTATCTCAGAATGCAAATCTATCAAGAGAAGTGACTATGCCACACATATGATGTATGACAGCTAGTGTCAGGATACACAATAAATATTTAAAAACAACAATGTACATATGAGGGAACACACAAAAAATGTAGTTATAACTTCCAGATCAAAGTAATTGCTTGACTGAAATATGATAACATATCTAAGATGGAGTTTTTGGCAGAATAAAGTTCAAGTGAATTTGGCGACATAACAGTAAAGTCATTTAAAAAGCTGGAAAGAAAAAAGTACGAAAAGCAGTGACTATACAATGCTGCAAACTTTACAAATCTGCCAACACTGACATGAAATTGTCAGCAAGTGTTTTTTTTTAAATAAAGTTCTAGAAAGGAAAATTTAGTTTACTATTTCAATTGTTTGAAAAATTATTCAAGCTTTTTTAATCCCCAAAGAAACTCTTGAAGGAAATTTGTAATTAACAAATCAAGATGATTGTAACTACCCAATTTAAAAGTATTTTAAAAAAAAAGGTTAAAGTTGTTCTTGTAATACAAATGAATCTGAAAGATCTGTGAATGTAAGGGGAACTCTTGGTGCAGGAACTCCCTACACCACTGCAGATGGATGGCCAGTCTCTGGCTTAAAAATTCTAGAGATATCTAAAGTTCAAGGAGGTTAAGCGACTTGCTCAAGGTCACAAAGCTATCATAGAAAAGATTTGTTAACAATTCCTCCTAACTCCAAGCCCAGTACTCTATCCACTACATCAGGCTGCCTTTAAAACAAAGCAGTAATAAACATGAAAACTCCCAAAATTCTGTAAATAAACTAAGTGGAACCTTTGTAGCAGAGGTAAATAGTAATTATTATAGTAGTTATAATAGTAATTATATGGGTTTTTTCATCCTTAATATTCATTTTATTTTTCTAAGTTCTTTCTACTATGTTCTTACTGTCTACATTCTACAGTACCTTCACATAAATATCTCTAAAAATGTGTTTTTAGAGATTTTTTTAAACATCTTCAAAAGTGCTCAATACCAGTATCTTCATCAAAATGGTCATCTTGATCCAAGGTACTCAGCAAACCAAAGGGTAAACACGGTCCAGTGGATAAAATAAAGGACAAGGGACCTGGCTTCTAAAACCACCTCAGTTACCAATTTGCTATTTGACCTTGAGCACTTTCGGCAACCCCTTCGTGTTTCAGATCTTCAGATTATGTCCTCCCCCTTTCTCATATACTCATCTCCCTTATCTTGCATACTAAGAGTATGAGGTGTTTCAGACCCTACTAGCCCCGCGGAGTTTCACAGAAGAAAAGATACATAAATCAGAAGTAGCAGTAACATAGTATCTAGGATCAAAGAAAGATCTGAACGTTTTCCCTCATTCGGAACAGCAACAGCTACTGACACTTAACAGCTCTTTCTTCCTTAGGTTTAAAGGGTCAGCGGCGTCTCCCTGCCTCATCTTGGCAATGCCCCTTCCATGCAGCTGTAACCAGCGCTGTCACTCGTCCTGGGGGACAGCTAAGCGTCCCCCACGCCTCGTTAAGACACCCACAAGGCCAAAGCCTGAGATGGAAGAGTGGGAAAACACTTAGAGCAAGTTTAAATCGAACCAGGGAGGGGAAGCTGGGAAGCAGACAACGACAAAACGGCACAGATGGAGCCGCCCCACCCTGCCCTGCCCCCTCCCCCGGTCCCCTAAGCACCCCAGGACGCCCCTCGCATCTGGACGAGACGGAGGGACGGGAGGGGGTCACGGGAGCCCCCCTCTCAACACAACAGATAATTCAAGAAAGCCCTTCCCCGTGGAAAAACAAGGCGGTCACCACTCCCCCGGAACCCGAGGCTCAGGCTGGGGAAACTGAGGCGAAGAGCAGCCGACCCCACCCCCGTACCTTGGGAGGTCGGATCTTGCAAATGCCAGTTTTCTCGGCCAGGGGCCGGATCCGGCCGATGAAGCTGAGAGGGTCGGTGAACTCCTCCCAACTGGGCTCGAAGACCGGGCACTCCGGGGGCGGCACGAACTCGGCCGCGTAGCCCCCCGGCCCCGCACCCGCCATGTCCACACGGAGGGGGACCCCCCCCCCGGGCTGTGGACTCGGGGAAAATCAGAGAGGAGAGAGAGGGAGGCAAGAGCCCAGCCGGGTCCTTTCACGTCCCCCAGCAGGGAAGAGAGCTCATAGTCCTGCCAGGGCCACAGCGGCTGGAGACAGTCCGCGAACTTCCTCCTCCTCCTCCTGTTTGTTATTGTTTCTTTAGGGCCTTTTTCCTCTCGAGCCCCCGCGGACGCCCCCGGAAGTCGAAGCGAAGTCAGATCCCTCCGCCAATTCGAACAGGATCCTTCCGCCGCTGCCTTAAAGGCCCCTTACCACACACTGCTCCTATCCGCTAGAGCGAGGGCTTCACCCGCCTCCCCTCCCCCAGGGGCACTCGAGCCCCCTTCCCCCACCCCACCCTCGGGAGGGATCTGCAAGAGGAATTGGACAGAGGGAGAAGACCAAAAAAAAAAAAAAAAAACCGCCGCGTTCTTCCGGCGCGGAGGAATGTGTAATCCCCCAGAGGGTAAAGGTTTTGCTTCCGTTCACAGGTTCCATTTCCTCTTTTGTGTAGCTGTGGCTGCTGGGTACCCCATTTTCCCCGAGCTAATGGCACTGGGTTTGGGGGTCACATAATACTGCTGCTTCGTCAGTGAGGTCATCGCACATCAAGCGTCCCTCAGTTATTATATATGCTGACCCAGATTCCATAACAGCCCGTTTAATTCAAACCCACTCCGGAACACCCCCTTCCTCCGCTACCACCCACTTGGTTTAATACCCCTGCTTCTTTCCCATGGCAACTCACTAAATGAAAGAATTCCTTCGCCGCAGTCAGGGCCGTGGCATGGCCCTTCCTGAGCGCGTGCTCATCTCAGCCCTTTCTGGCATTCCTCTCAAAACCTCTTCATTGGTTTTCTTCTGTGCTCTTCCCTGCCTCATTTCTCAAATGTACAGAGGTGGGATAAAGATGTGAGCATGCGTGGGTAAAAATACACCCACTAACCATGCAGACTGCAACTGTTCCGTTTGGGTGCTCCTTAACCTCAGTTCTACAGAGACTAAAATGACTACTGTAGAAAGAGGAAAAATAACAGCTGCTCCTGTAGTTGTGAGAATTTGTTCGTAAAAGCATGCTCACTGACAATGCAAACTACAGCCCTTCTCTTTGGGTGCTCCTTAACCTCAGTTCTACAGAGATTTTGATATTCAACATTAGAAGCCATAGAATATTGATACATATGGCTTGACCAGACACTGTAAATGGACAATGAGCTGGACTCAGAACTGAACAAGAGGAATAGAACGGAGTGGATTGCAATTGGGAAACTTCGCAGTTCTCTTGCTGATCACACACTTCTCCCTAAAGCGAAGGCCCATATGTTTAACATGAATATTTTTCCCATGCTGTTGTTTGGTTTTGACGTGAGGTACTATATAGGTAACCTACAAAATGGAAATTTGTTGATCACCTAAAAGGCAAGAGAGGTTCATAGTAGTCATGAGCAGCCTTCAACAAATTAAATGAAGAATTACGGAGAAATGGTGTAAAGAATGTCATAAAAACATGTGACCAGAAAATATATATATATGGGCTGATCATGTTAGGAGAGTGAGTTTTGAACAATGAACAATCGATATGCCTCATTGATATCCCAGAAATCGGAAGAAAACAAGAGGAAGTCCCCCAGCAGGTTGGGAGCTGAGGTGCTCCTTGTGGCAGATTTATGGAAGGACATGAACAAAAGTCACACAGGATGGACTGGGTTGGAGGAATTGTACCACTTCCCATATTTATGAGATCACAGATCCATTGAAATTTTGGAGTATAAACCTCTCCCAAAAGAATATAATAGAAAGCACAAAAAAAGAAAACTGGGGGGGAGTGGTTATGAGCAAGTAAGAATATAACAAATACTATAATAGGTTAGAGTCACAGGTTCAGCTAATCTGGAATTTTTTCTCTGACATACATAGATAATCTTGGTACACAAGCCAGAGAAGGTCACAGCATAGAAATAGAACTATGTATAACAATATTAATAATGAATACTGATACAAAAAAAAGGGAAAGGAAAAGGAAGGGAATAAGCATTTAGATACTTTGTTTAGGCATTATGCTAATCTTATTTGATCCTCACAAAAACTGTACAAGGTAGGTGCTTAGGTGAAGTTATTACTCCCATTTTATAGTTGAGGAAACTGCCCAGTTTCACAGGTCTTACTAGTGTCTGAGGCCAAATTTGACCTTAGGACTTCCTGACTTTCAGGCCCAGTAAAAAGACAAAAAGACTAAACAAAATTTTAGCAAAAAAAATATAACAACATATCTGAGAAATTATTCATTATGATCAAGCTGCAAAAAAAAAATTTTTTTTAATTAAAAAAAATGATCAAGTTACATTCATACTATGGAAAAATGGTTCAACATTAGAGAAACAACATAATTAGCCATATAAATGGCCAAAAGTAAGATTATATCAATAGATTCAGAAACAACCTTAGACAAAAATCGCCCATTTAATTTTTAAAATCCAAAAAGGCATATTCATGGAAGAGCCATTGTTCAATATAATCAAAAACATGTATCTATCTGATACCAAGCACTAGTGGTATTGAAGTGGAGAAAGATTGGAAGCTGTAGCAATAAGTTTAGGGGTAAAGAAGGAATACTCCTTTCTCTCCTATTATTTGATAAACCTAGCAATGTTCAATAGTAATAAGAGAAGTAAATATAATTAAAAGAATAAACATTGACAAAATTACCCTAAAAACTTATCCCTGGTAGCAGCTAGGTGGCGCAGTGGATAGAGCTCCGGCCTTGAAATCAGGAGGATCTGAGTTCAAATCTAGCCTCAGACACATAACACTAGCTGTATGACCCTGGGCAAGTCACTTAACCCATTGCCTAACAAAAACAAACAAACAAACAAAACTTATCCCCAAAAATGCTAGCTCTGTGTATCCCTATCGGTAGATAATATGATGATTTATTTTTAAAAACCTCTCAAATCAATGAAAAAGCTGAGGCAATTAACACCTTCAATAAAGTGGCAGGGTTTGAAAGAAATTAACAGAATTTTCAGTATATTTGTATATTGCTTTAAACAATAGAGAAATCTACTCAAAATAACTACAGAATGCATTAAATATATGGGAATCAGCCTACCAAAACAGACTCAGGGTTTATATAAATATGCCTAGAAACACTTTAAGGAATCCTCAGAATTGGAGAGACAGTTACTGTCCACAACTGAGCCATGCCATAATAGTTTCTTTTTTTAAGTTCCTATGACACTCCATTTCCCATGTCTGTGACTTTTCTTCTTTTTCTTTTTTACATCACACACACACACACACACACACATATACACAATTTTCAATCAGCAAAATTCTGCCAACAGTAGACTGCTGCTAGACTTAGCTACTATCAGCCAGCTGGGAGGTTCTACTGGTTCAGAGTGACAGAACTACAGGCAGGGATTCCTGCCCTGGTTATTCCTCTGTAGGCTTCAGACTAGTCTGGAGGCTGGAACCCACTCTGTTCCTAGGGTTTAGGCCATACTGCTGCTACTTGCTTCTGAACTTGCTTCTCTATTATTACACCTCCTAAGGCCTGAGACCTGAGAGTAGGGCTTCAGCGGGGGTGGAGTTAAAAGGGGCAGGGCCTTTCATCAGTCACTGTGGATCTGTGACCTAGAACTCAGTAGTGGACAACAAAGTTTCAAGTTCTCACCAGACCCTATATGGGTCTTGGACCTCTTCTTGCCCCATTTCACAACCTCTCCCTGGGCACTAGTGCATTCATCACCAGACCCAATCCCTAATGTCTGCAAACACTGTCTCTGTCTGCCTCCCTATGCTTACTTGAGCTAGAAAATTATTCACTTAAGACTTTTTTTTGGCTTTCCCCATCAGTATGTCTACATTAATAATAGAGGGAAATAGTATGATTTCAGAAAAACCTGGAAAGAAAAAAAAAACCTGGTGCATTTTCTAGATATGTTTGCAGGAGTTTGGGGAGGGCACTCCTCTCTGAACTACTTCATTCCATCTATCAGACATTGACCCCTCCAATCATTACCTCCACTGCCGTCCCTAATTCACTCATCCATGACCACTGCCAACCCCATCTTGTACTTCAATGTTGCTATTAACAATCCCCTGGGCTGAAGACAAAGACAACAGAAAACTTCTGTGCTCTGAGCAGTGGAGAGGAGGGACTTGGCTATAATGGATCCTGCTTTCATAGAATCATTCCTGGGTTCATGTGCCATATGCACATGCCATAATGACACTGGTGGCTAATCCATTTGCAGTAAAGAATTGGCTAATGAGAACTTCACCGTGGAGCACACTGGTTCTGACACCTTGCAAATGCTGGTCCCAATACAAATGGCTTTTGATTTCTTCATCTATGTTTCTAAGATTGATTGGTTGGATGGCGTTAGGGGCAGATCCTAATACCAGTACCCTGTTAGTTCAGGTTCAGCGTTGGACAAAATGAGGCACATGTAGGTCATTGAACAGTTAACAAAATTATTTAGCTCTAACATAGCAAGAATATGCAATAATGATATAGTAGCACTTAGATTCTTCAGACATGGCCCTATTAATTTCCATATGGAATCTGTATCTGTCTGCAAGGCTGGGTATGGTGATATTGTTTGTTTGTTTTAATTTTGAGTTCCAAACTATCTCCATTTCTCTCTATCCTTCCCTCTCCTTGAGAAGGCAAGCACTTATAATATTATATAATATAATATGTAATATAATATTATATTATATTATATTATATTATATTATATTATATTATATAATATAATATAATATAATAATATAATGTATGAAAGATTATACATGTAAAGTCATGCAAAACATATTTCCATATTGGCCATGTTACAAAAGAAAATACAGACCAAAAAAAAAACAAGAATAGTAAAGAAAAATTGAAAAGTATTCTTCAATCTGCATTCAGAATATATCAGTTCTTTCTCTGGAAGTAGATAGCACTTTTCCTTTGGAATTTTCTTGCATCATTGTGTTGCTGAGAATAGCTAAGTTATTCACAGTTGATCATCATACAATATTATTGTTACTGTGTACAATGATC